AGAGAGAGAGAGAGAGAGAGAGAGAGAGAGGAGAGAGCGAGTTGAGGAGACAATTCAGTTGGCAAAATGCCTGCCACTCAAGCATAACAACCTGAGTTCAAATCCCTGGCACCTACATAAAAAGCTAGGCATAGTTGCACCTACCTATAATCCCAGTGCTGTGCAGGCAGAGACAGGAAGATGTCTGGGGCTCACTGACCAGCCATTCTAGCCAAATTAGTGAGCTCCAGGTTCAGTGACAGACCCTGACTCAAATAATCAGATGGAGAGTGATTGAAGAAGACACCTGATGTCAACCTCTGGCCTCCATACACACATTCATGTGCATGCTTATGCACCCTCACATATATTTACACATGAACACGTACACACCACATATGCAAACACATACACACACACACACACACACACACACACACACACACACACCCCACAGCCACCAGCATGACCTACTGAGGACTCAGTGCACTCATTCATGCCTCGTGTTGCCCATAGTACCTGGAGGAAAAGGAAGACCTGGAGCTCAAGTGCTCGACCCTGGGGAAGGACTGTGAGATGTACAAGCACCGCATGAGTACTGTTATGCTGCAGCTGGAAGAGGTGGAGCGGGAGCGGGACCAGGTATAAAGCTGCCCTGATCATGGGGAACCCTGGGTTTGCCCAGCAGGGCATATGCCAAAGAGAATCTCTTTGCCAGTGTGCATGACATCTCTGACCTTACAGAAATTCCCCCTGAACTTGTCTTTCCTGTTTCTGAGATGAATTCCATCTTGAGAGAATTAGATGAAAATCTACAGGCATTTGGGGACCATGGGGACCTGAGCTGAGCCTCAGTGGTTCCCGTAACAGACCATGGTTCTTACTTGGTTTCTTTAGTGAACTAAGGAGGTTGACTTCAAGCCAGTCACTCATAAGGCCCAGGTTTTAATCCCCCATGCCATGGAGGGTGGTACATCCCTTGGCCAATGTCTGAACTGGAGTTGCTGCATATCCCTAGTCGCACTCTGGCTCAGTTGAGGTGAACACATAGCTCTTCCATGGCAGGCCTTCCACTCCCGAGACGAGGCGCAGACTCAGTACTCACAGTGCTTAATCGAGAAGGACAAGTATCGAAAGCAGATCCGGGAGCTGGAGGAGAAAAATGATGAGATGCGGATCGAAATGGTGCGGAGGGAAGCCTGCATTGTCAACCTGGAGAGCAAGCTCCGGCGCCTGTCCAAGGACAGCGGCAGCCTGGACCAGGTTGGTTGGGCCAGCCGTGTCCCCACACCCACAGCCAGGTGTCCTCCTGACCCCTGTTGATGGCTGACCTGGGCAGCCCTGTCCCCACATCAGCACCATCACATCCTCTAACCCACATGTGCATCTGCCTGACGTTGGATAGGAACCACTCATTTCAAAGTCAGGGGTCAGCAAGATGTCTCCAAAGGTAAAGGCACTTGCCACCAAGACTGATAGTCTGAGTTCATTACCCAGAACCCACATAGTGAAAAGAAAGAACTGGCTCCCTCAAAGTCAGAAGCTTTGGTGACATTCTGGGGTGGCAACTTCCTCACTGGGTGACTCAGAAAAGTAACATCACCTTTCCAAGATTCTGCACCTCTCAGTCAATCACAGCCCCATGAACCTCCCCTTGGCACCCCAGTAATGTGGATCATCATCAGATTTAAGATGCATGCACTCATTAAAATCACTGGTGACCATGAGTGAACACTTGCCAGTAGACAGTGAGTTGACAACATTTCCCAGCAGCCCCTGGGACATCTCAAAATGAAGGAATGCTGCCATCTTGACAGATAACCTTTGAGGACTCCTGTAGCTGAGAGTCTCCCCGATGCGGTCCTGGCCAGAGACTGTTCAATTCCATTAAAAATTCACAGAGTGGGCTGAGGAGATGGCTCAGTCGGTACTTACCATGCAAGCATGAGGACCCGAGGTTGATCCCCAGAACTCACATGAAAAAAAAAATCAAGCAAGGTAGCACATGCCTGTAATCCCAGTGTTGTAGAGGCTGAGACAGGCCTGGGGCTCACTGACCAGCCAACCTTAACTGCATGAGCTCTTGCACACACATATATATGTACACACACCATAAGAACTGCTCAGCAGGTTAGTGCTATGCCTTAGAGCCTTCAAAGAAAGGGAATCAGCTCCAATCAGCTGGATCATGCATGTAGTTCAGCAATGGCCTGAAGTCTCAGAGAATACAGAGTCAGTAGTGAGCCACATGGAGGGTCATGACTTCTCAACAATGCTGTATATTCCAAGTTAAAAGGCACCATGGAGCCAACATAGGAGGCCTTCTCTTCATGGTTCCAGAAAGACTACCTGCTTGGAAAGCAGGTCCCACCTGGGAAGCTCCTACCCTGACTTGCCCCTGGCTGCATGTGCTACTCAGCTTCTGGTCCTGCCAACAGGAAGACCCTTTCTCAGAGAGACCTTGGTTGGATGGATGGATGGATGGTTAGATGGGAGAATGGATGCATGGTTATATGGATAATTGCATTGATGGATGAATAAATGGATGGAGGAATGGAGAGATGGAGGGATGAATGGATGGATGAATTGAGGATGGATGAATGGAGGGATGGATGGATGGATGGATGGGTGGGTAGTTATATGGATGGATGAGATAATGGATGATGGCTGGATAGGTGGATAAATGGATGGATGTTTAGACAGACATATAGTTACATAGCTAGATGGTGGATGGATGGGGAAGGATAGATAATGGATGGATATGTGGATAGATGGGTGGATGGATGGTTACATGATGGATCAATGGGTGAGTAGATGAATGGGTGGTTGATTACATGTATGGATGGGATGATGGATGGTGGTTGGATGGATGGAGGATGGATAAACATATAGTTACACAGATAGTGGATGGATGGGTATGTGGATGGATTGATTGATGATTATATGGATGGATGTTGGATTGATAGGTGAATGGATGGATGGATGAGTGGGATGATGGATGGGTGGTTACATTGATAGATGGGATGATGGATGATGGTTGGATGGATGGATAGATGGATTTATGGGTAGGTTGATGGTGGATGATTGGGTAGATGGATAGTTAAATTTGTTGACCATCCATACTACTGGAAGTGGCAGAGGGAGGCTCACAGCTGGCTGTGATCAACTGAGAGCTACAGAAGCTTGAAAAGGTAATGTTACTTGTGTGGGAGCCCCTGTGCTGTGTTTTCACCCTGTGGCCACCACAATTTGGGATTTACACGAACTCCACTCAGGCCTCTCTGTGCCCCACAGTCAGTCCAGCACTAGGTACAAGCTTCTTTGATGAGTAACCCCTAGATGTCTTCATAAAGTTGTGATCCCCACAATTGGACAAGGGGTGGTACAGATAGCATTCTAGCCCTGGGGACAACATGATTCAAGGCCAGCAGGCAGGCATGACCAGCAGGTGGCCAGCAAGTGGTAGCTGCAGCTGTCTATTGGATGGGAAGCAGGAGAGGCAGGAAGAAAGAGCAGGCCAAGGCAAGGTGTGCTGAGTACACTGGGGAGTTTGGCAGCTCTTTTGGAGCCATGAGGAATTTTGTGCCAAGAAATACTAGATCACCTAGAAGCGATTTAGTGCCTCTGTGGCTCCTGTTTTGTAAAGAGTGACTATAAATGATATGTATTTATTAGGGAAGATTAAGTGATGTAACAGCTAAAAAGCCCCAGGGATACCATGTGACTGATTCTTATCATTATACAACAGTGGATATATATAAAATTGGGACTAGAGACTAGAGAGATGACTCGGCAGGTAAGAACACTTGCTTCACAATCAGGACCGGAGTTGAGATCTCAGCACACACATAACAAGCCAAGTATCCCCAAGCGTACCAATGACCCCAGCTAAGAGGTGTGTGAGATAGGATGGTCACTAGGGCTTGCTGGCTTCCAAACCAGCTGAGAAAATGGGAGACCCAGGTTGAGGGAGAGACCCTGCCTCAAAGGAATAGGTGGAGAGCGAGAGAGATGGAGCCCCAGCACCCTCCTTCAGCCTCCATGCACAGGCACAGATACACACACATGTACACACACACACACACACACACACGGACATGCACACACACGGACACGCACATACACCCACACAGGCACATACAAACACACACAGATAAATACAAACTTGGAGGATGATGGGGACTAGTGAGCCAGTGACCTCTTTACTATTAACAAAGCAAGAGGAGTCCCCAGGAGGATGGAGAGGGGAGCAAGAGGCTTGTGCCGAGACAGGATGCTGAACTACACTGACAAGTCATGGCTTCCAGGTGCACAGGGAGTCAGAAAGGAACAGCCTGGGCTGAGTGTCAAATTGGAGTGCCTAAGGGACCAAAGGCACCATCAGCCAATGGTCTTGTGTCTGCCAGCTGCCCCTCACACTCACCCCTCTCTGCCTAGAGTCTACCCAGACATCTGCCAGCCACCATCATCTCACAGAACCTTGGGGACACCAGCCCCAGGACCAACGGCCAGGAAGCAGATGATTCTTCAACTTCAGAGGAGTCCCCCGAAGACAACAAGTACTTCCTGCCCTACCACCCACCCCGGAGGAGGATGAATTTAAAGGGCATCCAGGTACCTGGGGGCAGGGGTCAAGGCAGGTGGCAGTATGGGAGCCTCATGCAGAGCTCTGCTTGGGTGTGACTTGACCTATTTCAGCTCTGTACAGAAATCATGCCTGTTCATGTGTTCCTTTATTTATTTTTACTGAGAAAACGAGAGAGTGAGAGGTAGGGGAGAGAGAGGAGGAAGGGGAGAGGGGGAAAGAGAGAGAGGGAGACAGAGAGAGAGAGAGAGAGAGAGAGAGAGATTATCTTCAAGTTCCTTTGCTATTCAGTGCATCAGTACTGAGTATAGCCATGTGCCTGGCACCATGCTGGGAGCTGGACCACAGCAGAAACCCTGTCACCTCTCTTGATATCCAGGGCAATCCATGACATGTGGCTGGCTCCCAGGGAGTACATGGGTGGTGAGTGAATGTATACATGCATACATTCATGGAAAGGTAGATCAATGGATGGAGGCATGCATGCATGCCTGGAAGGGAGGATGGATGGAAGGATGAATGGATGATGGATGAGTGGTGAGTTACATGAATGGATGAGATGGTAGATGATGAATGGATGGGTGAATAGATAGATTGGGAAGTGTATGGATTCATAGTTACACGGATAGATGATGGATGTATGTATGTAAGCATGTGCATGTGTGCATGGAAGGGTAGGTGACCGAATGGAGTCAGGCATGCATGGCAGGATGGATGGATAGAAAGATGGATAGATGGATGGATGGAAGGATGGATGGATGACAGATGGGTGGTTGGTTACATGAATAAATGAAATGATAGATGATGACTAGATGCGTGGATAGATGGATGGGAAGATGGATGAATGCATAGTTACATGGATGGATGAATGATGGATGGGTAGATGAATGGCTTAATGGTGGATGGATGGGTAAACAGATAGTTATATGGATTGATGATGGACCAATGGATGTAAGGGCCACTTCATCAAAGTCTAATGTCCTCTGCTTCTCCACTCACATGGGAAACTGTAGGATGTAGGACCAAGGGTGTCAGGGCAGCTGCTCTACAGCCCCAGCCGCTCCTGGAGGTTCTGTGCATCATGCATCATCCTGGCATGCAGTACTCCTGTGCCTCGGTATCCCAGAGCTGTGTTCCCACAGAGCTGGTTTGTCTGGACCAGTAGTTGCCTGATCCAGGCCCAGGAGAGCCTCCACATCTTGTTCTAGCTGCAGGAGACATGTTTGTCTGCCAAGCCGGGCATCCTCGGGTCGGGAGGCGGGATGATCGCTCCTCATTTTATTTTTCTCTTAGCTGCGGTGACGTGTCTCGGACCCTTTTTGATTTGTGTCCTCTGTCTTGTGCCTTTCCCCTCCCCACTCTTTCAGCTGCAGAGAGCCAAATCCCCCATCAGCCTGAAGCAAGCATCCGATTTTCAAGGTTAGTGAGCCGCCCAGATCCCTCTCGCCCTTACTCATCTGTCACCCTGCCTCTCTCGTTCCATCTGTTCCTCCCGCTGCAGCAATAGGCCCTGTAGGATTGACCCAGCAAGGCCTCAGAGGTCTCAGGGTGGTGGGTGCCCATCTGTCGGTAATTAATATTCATTGTCATCAGAAGCATGCAGGTGGCCTGACCACTCCTGTGTCACCTCTGTGGTCCCTTCCAACTGAACTAGGTATCTTTTCTTTTTGGCATGAATATGTTCACGGTGTATGTGTGTGTGTGTGTGTGTGTGTGTGTGTGTGTGTGTGTGTGTGTGTGTGTGCTTGTTCCTATGTGTGTACATGTACCTGTGTATATACAGTGCAGGTGTGTGTGCACGTGTATGCAGAGGTCCAAGGCTGACATGGGGAATCTCCCTCAGTTGGTCTCCATTTTATTTATTGAAGCAGGATCTGTCAATTAAACCCAGAGCTGGCTGATGAGGCTAGATTAGGCATCACCTGTGTCAGCTTTTCAAAACTCTGGAATTATAGTTGGGCTGCCACACCCACTCAGCATTCACGTGGGTACTGGGGATCTGAACTCAGGTCCTCATGCTTACATGACAAGTACTTGATCTACTGAGCCATCTCCCCAGTCCCTGAACTGGGCATTTTTCCTCATGACTCATCAGCAGAAAGACCTTTGACCTTTCTCTATCATTGGGTGGCAGTGCCCAGGTGCACGGGGCTGCCAGTTCAGACATAAAGCCCTGGTTCTCCACAGCAGGCTGCTTCCCATGACTACTTTGTCAGCCTCCCTTCAACTCGGGGTGATCTAGCAAAGGTCTACAAAACAGTTTGAGTTCCTGCTTTGTGGCAGGTGCTGGAAGTTTCCAGATTATACCCCAGGACCTGTGCACTTAGAGAAGGGTCACCATAAGGAGGTGGAAAGTGGCAGGGGTCACCTCAGGAAGCAGTTGGGAAAGACTGAACCATTCACCAAGCTTGGAAAAGGGAGAATTTGGGTCAAGGGACACAGCCTATGGAAGGAGAGGAGCGGAGAGAGCGAGGTAAGCAGGGTGTGGGAAGATGCCCTGCCATCCTGAAACAAAGCAGGAGGGCTGGCGGAGAGTCCTCCAGCAGAGAGCAGCCATCCTGAGCTCCTGGCCTTTATCCTGCTTTTGTGACTGTGGAGGATGGGCGAGAAGAATCCAAACCTGGGCTCTAGATAGGTCTCTTTAGGTATGGTGGGCAGGGAGTTCAGAACTGGGGTCTGATTGAGCTCCCTCGTGGTTATATCCGAGATCTCAGCAACCTTTTTATCCAAAGGTGATGTGCAAAGGGCCCGGGGGCTTGTGTGATGCAAATAGTGTGCCCCAAAGGAAAGAGAAGGATGCTGCAGGGCCAGGGGCTTCATCACGGCTCACCAGGCCTGACAGTCCACCTAGTGGGAGAGCTGGGGGTCCAGGAGAGTCGTCCCTTCACAGTATGGGCACCTGTGTCTGTACGTCTGTGTACACACAAGTACACATGTAGGCACCTCAGGAAGCAAGTAGAAATGTGTGAGTGACAGCTGTCACAGAAAGCTGAGGGGGGTGGGCGTGCAGCCCCGGGGCAATCAGGGCCAACAAAGGGGACTCTGCTCAAGAGGTGATGGACATTTGCCATGGTCTGCTATCAGTCTGCCTTGTTTAAGACAGAGCCCAGATTTGATGAGGAGGAAACTAGGGAGAGCTTGTGCACCCCCATGAGGGATACTGTGTAAGTCCCCAGAGACAAGTGACATGGTTAAGTCTTGACTGGGACCACCCTTAGCCTGTGGGCTCGGGCAGGCTGTATTAATGAGCAAACCTAGGCCACCTGCAGTAAAGTGAACTGAAGGTTTTATCATTGCTTCTGTGCATGCCCTAGAGGGTGAACAAGCTCCTGACTGGCACCATCTGCACACATCCTTGTTAGCAGACGTTTGGGGTGCCAACTGGAAGTTCTAACATCCCTCTCCCTTCCTTTTCTACCCCCAACCCCCATCTTTTGTGCCACGGTTCCTATGCGGACAGTCAAGGGGCAGGAAGAGGATTTCCCGGATGGCAGCCCCAGCTCCTCCCGATCACTGCCTATCACCAGCTCTCTCTCAAAGATGGTGAGTGGCTTCCCTCCACTTAGACAGGGTGCATCCTGGGACAGCCCAGGGTCTTCCTGATGGTTATTTGAAGATGTTTCCCTTCCAGGCCCCACAATGCATTCACACCTGCTAGCTGTCTCCTTTCCCAATTTAACACTTGGTGGGAGGAGGAGATGGGCCTCCTCGGGACTGTGGCTAGCAGCACAGGCTGCCCAGAATTCTGTTGCTACTTGGCAGCCCCAGGCAACTCCGGGTGCTGCCTTGGGAAGCGGAGGGCAAGGCTGGGACTGCAGACACAACTGGAGACTGCCTCCCCTGCCTTCCCCAGGCCCAGCACCCCCTCTCCTGGACAGAGCTAGGCAGGGTCACAGCTTTCCATCACTTTCAGTTCTCCATTTGTCACCAATCAGACCACAGAAGGCATCAGATTAGAAATTCGAAGCCGGAAGGGTGCCCTGGGAAATGTCAGCTCAGCTTCTCAAATCAGACCCTGGGGGAGGTAGAGATTCTATAATGACGGTACCTGGTCTGGTATCAGCTCTTTGGGGCAAAATCCACCTGGATCCCCAGTACACCCCCCGTAGCTGCTTATACACTCTCCTCTCTGGACCCACCGAGTCCAAAGCAGATACCCACAGGCAGGTGCAGTCACCGGCCATGGAGCTCACCCTGCGAGAGGGCCGAGGGTCCTGAGGCCTCAGCTCCGCCTCTCCAGCTCAGCAGTTCCAACCTGTTCCTCCCAGAGAGCAGATGTATGAGCAGCTGTGCTTCAAGCTCTACCGGCTGCCCTAGGCCTGAGCCCTGCCTCCTCCAGCCAAGGTCGTGCTAAGAACCAGCTTGCTTGGCCTGTGTTGCCCAACTCTGGGCAGGAACAACCCTGAGTTAAATTTAGTCCCCGCGTATATAATATTTATGCCCGCAGAGGCATCGTGTATAAATATCCAGTAACACAGCTGAGCCGTTTTCGCAGCAGCCCCATCGGAGCCGCAGTAGCGTCATGTCAATCACCCCAGAGCCCCCGGGAAACGACTCCATCGTCAGACGCTGCAAGGAAGATGCTCCACACCGAGGGTAAGTGGCCGGTGGGGGCCGTGGCTGGCTGGCTGACCCATCTCCAGGCCCCTGCATCGCTACAAACGCCTTGGGTTTCTTAGCACCCTAGGAAGAAAGTGGAGAGAGTTGAGGCCTGGAATAAGGACTCACCCCCTCAGCTAGCTGGGTCCTCTTGTCCCATGCTGCTCCCAGATCAGGTTCCCAGCTCTTGAGGCCCAGGACTTGGGGTTTTTTTTTTTTTCATCCAAAGGATGAGAGACCCACAAGTACCTCCTCCCCAGCCTCTCATTTCTTGAAAAGCACCAGTGCAGCACAAAAAAGTCCAAAGCAGAGGTGGCAGCTGCTTGGGTTCTAGTTAGTCACACTGCACTCAAAGTCAGGGCTAGGCTGCAGCGATAACCCAGGAAAGTGCTTGCCTTGCAAGCAGGAGGACTGAGTCCAGTTCCCTAAAACCAACATTTTAAAAGCTGGGTATGGTACTATGTGCTTTAATCCCAGCAAGGAAATAGGTAGGTCCCTGGGACTCACCCACCACCAATCTAGCCTAATCAGTGAGCTTCAGACCAGTGAGAGACACTGTCTCAAAATACAAGGTGGGAATAGACATAGTGGTGCACGCCTTTAATCCCAGCACTTGGGAGGCATCTGTGAATTAAAAGCCAGTCTGGTCAACATAGTTCCAGGCCAACCAGGGCCTGAAACTCTTGTCCTCTGGCTACCACGCACATAAACACACACACACACACACACACACACACACACACACACACCCCACAAGTCAGATGCAGGTGGTGGTTCTGGAAGGGCTGAAGGAGCTGGGTTTATATTCCAATCCCGCTGGGGCCTGAGTCAGGGTCTCCCAGTCATGAACTTCCCAGGGCAGCTCTGGACACCCACCCAAGACTCTCCATCAGCCCAGTCTACATCTGTGAGAACATTTACCCAGTCCCCCTGGGGACCTGCTCCTCCCTGTCCAGTTTGGACCAGTGGTTAGAGGGTTCCAGAAGCCCCTTGTGCCTGCCTGCACCTTTGTGAACAGCCAAGGCTTCTTCCTACCCACTGCAGCCTAGTGAGTACTCTTCTCCCTCAGAGCCAGATATGGATAGCAAGTGTGACCAGGTCGTGCCATGACAGAGTTGTAAATAGCAGATGGGGCCTCCAGATATTCTGTTTGTAACCCAAGCTGGACTTGAACTAGCAATCCTCCTGCCTCAGCCTCTTGAGTGCTGGTATTACAGGCATGCACCACCACACCTGGCACCACCTGGCCTCTGCTCACCTGTTTCTGTGCCCTCTTCAGCTGATATAAGACGCAGCCACTGCAGGCCTGGTCTCTCTCCTTTGCATACTCCAACTTCACATAACCCTCCTCACCCTCTCCTTCCTTCCCTCACTGCCCTCTTATAACCGAGACCTGTTGGAAAGCCAGAACATTCCAGAAGCTTCCCTTTGTTCATCTGCATGAGCACACCTCCTCACATGTGTGCTGTTCCCACCCCTGGTTTGTGTTTTGCAGCACACTGGAGGAAGACATTGACAGCAGTGGGTTTGATGCCTTAGACCTTGACGGTATGTATGTGCCAGGCCCAGAGGGACCATGGTGACCTGTGGAGGACAGGGTCTGGCTAGAGAGAGGCTGTGCATATGGTAGTCCCTGGGGAAATAGGTATGGGGGGGAAGTCTGAGAGTTGCTTGAACCCAGAGACCCTGGAGCTTCTGTGATTTGCAGGTAAGACAGTCCACTCAACTGAAGAACCAGTGAGAAACTCTGGATTTTAAAAGGAAGAGTTCTAGGACATGGAGTGTAGCTCAGCAATAGAGCGATTCACTAGACTTCCCCAGTGATGGGCTAGGGAGTTAGCTCAGTTGATAGAGTGCTTGCCTATCACACATGAAGCCCTGGGTTCCATCCCAGGACTTAATGGCACACTCCTGTACTTTGAAAGTGGAGGCAGGAGGATCAGGAGTTCAAGTTCATCTTTGACTACACAGAGAGTAAGACACCATTCTGGGCTACTTGAAACCCTGTCAAGAAAAGAAGGGAGGGAGAGAGGAAGGGGGGAGGGACGGAGGGATGGAGGGAGGAAAAGGGAGAAGAGGGGAGAGGAGGGGAGGGGAAGAGAGGAAGCGGTGGGAGAGAGGGAAGAATGGAGGGAAGGGGAGGGAGGGAGGGAGGGAAGATGGGAAGATGGGAAGGTGGGAAGATGGATGCAGGGTGTGGTGTGTACACCTGTAGTCCCAACACTTGGGAGATAGGGATAGGAGAATCAGCCTTGGCTACTAATAGCAGTTTGAGACCAGCTGGGCTATATGAGACCTAGAAAGAAACAGGGGAAGGAGGGAGGGGAAAAAAGGAAGGAAGAAGAGAGAAAAACTAAGACAGTGGGGAATCAGTGATGTTTTATGTCCTGAAATTTGAAGTGGAGGCTGGGACTGAACTTGGGGATGGCCCTCAAATGGCTTCCTCACAGAGCTGGAACTAAGGACATGTTGGGGACACATGTTAATGCCTGTGTGAAGCCCCACCTATCTGCTCCTCCCAGCCAAGGAGTTCCCACTCAGCCCATCCCCACCAGGGTTAGGACACAGGCCATGTCCCCCAAGTCCTTGCTGGGCAGAGATCACAATATCAGGGCAATGAACCCAAGACACATGCCTGACTTGTCTGGGTCAGTGTGAGGAAGACAGCCTGAAGATGACCACCCCCATGCCTCAGATGTCCCCATGCCCCTGTCCTACTGGCATCTCGGGCGCCTGTGGTTCAGAGTCCCATGAGTGTGCCCTGCCAGCTCCCCACGTGCCTGGCCTCCTCAGCCCTATCTGCAGCCCCTGGCTAGCGGAGGCTGCCAGCTGATAAAATGGAAAGATTAGCAATCCTCTGTAATTGGGGACCATCACAAGCTATCAAGTGTTAAAGAGAGGTTAGCGCCTAATGGAGGCTGGGTAATGAAAAGAATCGAGAGAGTTTTGGAAAGAGGAAGCTGAGAAGTGACTCCTGGGCAGGAGTCCAAAGCACGCTGTGGGTGTCGGGAAAAATTCCCCTTTGTAAAATTGGCCTTTGCTATCAGTCCCAAGCAGGACCAGCGGGTTCCTCACCCCCAGTGGCTCTGTGCTAGTGTATATCACCCCAGGGTGCTTAGGGTCCAACCAAGCTGGAAGAAAAGAGAAGGGACCCCAGACCCACAGTCTAAGAGTCAGTGGAAGAGGATGGTGAGGCGGGGGGGAGGGGTCACAAAATGAGAGCCTCAGAGCCCAATTCCAAAACAACTGAGGGCTGAAAAGATGGCTCAGTGGTAAGAGTGCTTATTCCGCAATCATAAGGACCAGGGCTCAGATCCCAGGACCACACAAGCCAGGTATTCCCAGTAGCACCTATAACCCCAGCTCTGATGGGGGTGGAGACAGGGGGACTGCTGGGGCTTGCTGACTTCCACTGAGCCAAGGCCTGAGCCCCAGGTTCAGGGAGAGACCCTACCTCAAAGGAATAGGCAGAGCATGATAGAGCAGGGCAGACACCCTCTTGTGGCCTCCAAGAGCATGCACAGGCACATGCACCTACACACACACACACACACACACACACACACACACACGTACACATCAGTGAATGAGTGCAGGTACCTGGTGAGGCCCCATAAGAAGAGATGTCTAGAGCTGGAGAGATGGTTCAGCAGTTAAGAGCACTGGCTGCTCTTGTAGAGGACCTGAGTTCAGTTCCCAGCACCCACATGGCAGCTAACAACCATCTGTAACTCCAGTTCCAGTCATCCAACACCGTCTTCTGGCCTCCTCAGGCATTGCAGACACAGGTGCAGGTATATACATGCAGGCAAAACACCCATATACAGAGAATAAATAAAATATTTTTTAAAAAAAGAAATGTCGAGGGCTAGAGAGATGACTCAGCAGTTAAAAGCACTGGCTGCTCTTGCAGAGGACCTGGGTTTGATTTCAAGCACCCACATGGCACTCACAACCATCTGTAACTCCAGTTCCAGGGACTCCAACGCCCTCTCTTCTGGCTTCTGAGGTTACTGAATGCATGGATGCATTTACAAACGTAGGCAAAACATTCATACACACATAAAATAAAGATAAATATTTTTATGTTTAAAAATGCCTATTTTGAACTTGACCATCTGCCTTGAAAGAGTCAGGATTCCTACCTCACCCCAACCCACGTCTAGGTGCACACCTGTAATCCCAGCACTTTGAGAAGGGGAGACAGGAGGATCACAAGCTAGAGGGCAGCCTGGGCCACAGGGTACAACCCTGTACTCTGCCTCTAGAGGACGCTGACTCTCCCCGTATTCCAGGCTGCAAGCCTATACCACTGTTCAGCTTTGTTCTGCCTGTGTCTGGGCTACCTGGCTGCTCAGGGTGGGAGGAGATGGCCCAGGGACAGACCGCTGTGCTCCCGGATGCTCCTGTGCCCTGACTGGCTCACTATCCTCCACAGATGACAATCATGAACGCTACTCCTTTGGACCCCCCTCCATCCACTCTTCCTCCTCTTCACACCAGTCAGAGGGACTGGACACCTATGACCTGGAACAGGTCAACCTCATGTTCCGGAAATTCTCTCTAGAAAGGTACAGGGAATGATCTGGGTAGATGGCTCTGTTGATGGTTGGTAAGGTACTTGCCATGAAAGCATGAGGAGCTGGATTCGAATGCCCAGACCCACATAAGAAGTGGGGTATGGTGGTGCATGCTTGTAATCCCAGCACTGGGGAGGTGGAGATGGGAGAATCAGGAGTTCCAGGTCATTCTCTGCTATGTAAATGGGTTTAATGAGACCCGGTCTTTAAAAAAAAAAACCACTCCCTTTATTCCTAGCCTGTCCAGGGAAGGAAACAAGACCCACCCAGGGAGGGGCAGGTGGTGATTCCTACCTCTTGTGGCCAGGGGGCTACAAGTGTGGGTCACTGGGAACCTGAGGCTGCAGAGCCTGAAGGGCAGGCAGCCAGGCCTCCAGTATCGGCCCCCCAGCCTGCTAGCCTGTCTTGGGATCAACCCTTCTATTTGGAACCCAGCTGCCTCTTTTATTTCCCAACTCAGGCCCTTCAGGCCGTCGGTCACGTCTGGAGGTCACATGAGAGGCCCGGGGCCTTCGGTCCAGCACATGACTCTAAATGGCGACGGGCTCATCACCCAACTCACCCTCCTGGGCGGCAACGCACGCGGGAGCTTCGTCCACTCTGTCAAGCCGGGCTCGGTGGCCGAGAGGGCAGGATTGCGTGAGGGCCACCAACTACTGCTGGTGAGGGATGGAAGCAGGACTGTTGGCTGTCCTCAGGCCCTTCTACAAACGCACACCCACAGACATGTGCACCCCCTCCCTCAATGTGTGAGATCTGGGGAAAGGAGGAAGGTACCCCCCCCCCCCCGTGTTACCCAGCACGGTGCCCCCCCCCCCCCAATGTGGGGGGTCTGGGGGAAGGGGGAAGGGCCCCCCCCCCCCCCCCGTGTTCTGACAGGGATCACCTCAGTCCCTTGGCTCTGCCCACCTGCAGGGCTGAAGGAAAATAACAACTCGTTTTTGTCTGGTAGCTGGAAGGTTGTATCCGAGGAGAGAGGCAAAGTGTCCCTTTGGATGCGTGTACAAAGGAAGAGGCCCGTTGGACCATCCAAAGGTGTAGCGGCCCAGTCACCCTGCACTACAAGGTCAACCAGGAAGGTGAGTCCTGATCCACACAAGGGTGGGTGCAGGACTCACACTCAGAGCTTCACCTTGCTCGTCTATGCACTATCAGGAAGGAGCCCCTCCTACACAAGCAGACAGGAAGGGCAGCTCTCTGCGTCCTGGGCCAAGTCCATAAACCTGCCCTGGAAACTCAGGGGACATGAGCCCAGGCCCACCCTTCCTGGTGGAAGTGTGCCTCCTGGTGGAAGTTTGGCTCCCCAGCCCATACCCACAGTAGCTCTGTCCAGGCAGGCCACTCAACTTCATTGGCTTATGTCCAGGGATTCCCCTTCCTGGCCTAGCCTGCCCCCAAGCAGCTCCTCTGCCCAGGAGATGTACCCCAAGCTTTGTTCTCTGTTTTCTGAGAGTCAGAATCGTATTTTCACCTCTAGGTTTTCCAGCCTGATTTTCTCTGCAGCTGGGTCTTATTTTTAACCACGGGAATCATGAATATTTGAACACAGCATAAATAGCCACCCAGCTTCACCAGCGGCCCTGGCACCCCTTCCCAGCAGTGATGTTCTATCCCCAAACATGGGGTACCGTTGACCCCACACAGGAGGTCCGTGCCTCCCTGCTCCTGAGACTGGACTTTCCAGTCCTGAAATAAACAGATAGAAGATAGATAGATAGATAGATAGATAGATAGATAGATAGATAGATAGATGATAGATAGATAGATAGATAGATAGATAGATAGATAGATCAATCGATCTGGGTAATACCCCGACCCCAGGCCACAGAACTGCAAAGCGCAGTGTAGGCAGCTCCCCCTAGAGGTAAACGGTGGCATAGCTCTGAAGACTTCAGAAATACTGGAAGGCAGGTGTTCTGAGAGGATGCTGGACGCCCCTAAAGGACCCTGCAAGAATCCCTGTTTCTACACACTGACCCAGCTGGCAGGTTGTTAAGGGCCTGGCTGTTACAGCTTCTGCTTTATCAAGTCACACCTCTGCAACTGGAGCACAGTTGACGATTTATATTATAGATGAATACCATAGGTGTTCACTGAAAGCCTGCAGCATTTGTTAGATTCGTAGTGTAAGCCCAGGATAGTTCCAACGTGATTTGCAAAAATTTACTCAAAAGGTCAGTAACATTTGAGTTTCTGTAGCACATGTAACTGTCTTAACAACTTAGAAAACACACTTGTCATTTATCTACCAACGCCTTGGTACTGGCTGGCAGTGACCTGGTGACTGTAGTTATTGTATTTATCTAAGAACAATGAGCACACCCGTCTACAGAAAAGAGTATATCTCATTAACTCAGCAGAATAGAATACTATACAGCGATAAAAAGAACCTGTACCACCATGGTTGCGTCCTGACAAATGGGTCTTGCAAACAGCATGAGGAGCAGTAGCAGCCAGAAACAAAAGAGTTTATGTTATTTGTTCCCATTTATGCAATGTGAGGTACAGCTTAGCTGGGGAACAGCAATTGAGATAAGGTTAACCTTATCAGAGGGCTCACAGTAGACACTACCCACATGTATATACATTTGTGAAAAGTCATTGAATCTAAGAATGTGTGTGATCTATGTGCTAAGTGCTAGTTGGAATATAAAGAATAAAAGCCAAGCCCCATGTAGTGCTGGGAAACACATGGAGCCTGCAGTATAGACCCTAGTAAGATAAACATTGTGGCTGGGTACAAATTTTAGTTCTGAGTTTCCTGGCAGCCAAGATAAAAAGGGAAACCCATGAATGGCATGGCATTCACAGGGAGGAAGATCTGTCCCTAGCTGTGAGCTTTAAGCAATTGTACAGGCACAGTATCTCTGGGGTGCTTAAGTGTTTGAAATGTGTCCCCCTTCAGGGTACCGGAAGCTGCTGAAGGAGATGGAGGATGGCGTGATCACATCAGGAGATTCATTCTACATCCGGCTAAACCTGAACATCTCCAGTCAACTGGATGCCTGCACCATGTCCCTGAGGTGTGATGACGTGGTGCATGTACGAGACACCATGTACCAGGACAGGCATGAGTGGCTGTGTGCGCGGGTTGACCCCTTCACAGACCAAGACCTGGAAATGGGAACCATCCCAAGCTACAGCCGGTAAGGCTGGGGAAGGAGCTGTGAGATGCAGAGGCGTCCTAGACCAGCAAGAGCCATGTTCCAGCCCCTCACTGGGGGATTCTAGGCAGGAGCTCCACCACAGAGACACATCCCTAGCCCCTCACTGGGGGATTCTAGGCAGGCGCTCTACCACTGAGCCACACCCCAGCCCCTCACTGGGGGATTCTAGGCAGGCGCTCTACCACTGAGCCACATTCCCAGCCTTCTTTACTTTTTGAGACAGAGTTTGGCCAAGTTGTGCCAGCTTGCTTTGAACTTGCAATCCTTCTGCCCTCATCCCTGTCTATCCCCTAGGAGCTGGGATGATAGGCCTGCCCCATTCAGCCTGGCTGTTTCTTTTCCTTCTGTTGTCCTGGGTCTGGAACCCAGAGCCTTGTACATGCTAGACAGTCCCTCTGTCTCTGAACCATGCCCCAGCCCTTTAGTCATTTGTTTTTATCTTCCTTGGGCAGCTGCCCAAGGTCTGAACCTCAGCAAGTGTCAGGAGACACATCATGTGTCTGTACTTCTGCACAGTGACTCCTGCTTTTCTGAGCCTGCACTCTGGGTTGCAGTACTGGGTAGTGGGTCTCAGTCAGCCCGATACTCAGGGT